ATTATTACAACAACAAAAATTATAAATTAAATACACACAAAATGAACAAAAATTAATAACATTCTAAATCGGTTAAATCTGATTTTTGATGGGTATGTACAATCTTCTCTTGCTCGAAACATTCCGTCAACTTTTCGAGGTTTGATTCCAAGTTAGACTTCAATGCTTCCGCGTCGTTCAACTTCTGCTGAATCTCATTCAACTGCTTCTCTTGATTTGTTGATTTCTGTCGATGGACGAACGAAAATGAAAGATATAATTTACTCAAGATGAAAGGATGTTAGTATAATAACGACAATGATGACAACATTGATAATTAGGATGATGAAAATTAATTAATCACACGAGACCAACTTGTAATAACTCCGTATTGACTTTCTTTAGTTTTGCACTGTTTTCAAGCTCAGCTTGAAACTTTTCGTTCACTTCAATGATCTGTTTTGTTTATGAAAGGCGAAACAACATCTTTACTTCAACCATCTTCATCAACTTCTTCACCACAACATCCTCAGCCTATCCTCATCATCACAATCACCACTTCAATAAATTCAACGTATCATCGAGTCAATTTAAATTATAATATCAATAGTTGGAACTGTTGAAGGTATAATTTCCTATAGAGACTTCAATGAAAGCTGACAGTAGAGCCGCAATTAAAGCAGATGAAAATTGGCACATTGTTTGGTTACCAGTAGAGACCATCAACACATGCTTAGATTTATTATCAGTGCATGCATTCAGAAAAGTGAAACAACAGCAAACCAAATGACCAATGCAAAAGATGTTTAACTGAAAAAATGAATTAAATGAATGACTGACTTGTTTTTCAAGCAATGAGATCTTCTCTGTTAACTGACCGACTTTTTCAGTCTCTTTCAGTTTAAGTTGCTGTTCAGCAGCCAGTTGTTTATCAGTGTCACGTGATTTGTTTTCAAATTTTGATCTATTTTCAACTTCCAGATCAAATTTTCTCTGTAACTCTTTGAATTCATGTTGGAGTAATGTGTTGTCTCGTTCGTAGTTCATCAGGTCAGTTCGCAATTTTGCATCATCAGCTGTCAGTCGATCGACCTCCTTCTGCAATGATCTGCTCAGTTCAGTTGGAAACATCCGGAAATTATAAATTGTGACATCGCATTTTAATGAATAATATTTCCAATAAATTTCCTTGGAAGCATATCTTTCTATGTATTAGCTTTTCGTATATGAAAAGCTAATAATGGTAAAAATTTTGACTTGAGTGATGTCATCATTGTCAACATCATCATCATCATCATCATCATCATTAAGGCAAGATTCAAAAATTTTATAGTCACTCTATCAAAAGTGCAAGCATCCACAAGTGGGCATCTTCCACAAACATTCATTACTCATTCATTTCTACGACAGTTTTATCTTGGAAAGTTTTAAAATTAACCATAACGCATGATATACAACAGACAAACAAAGAGACAGAGAGACGAACAGACAGAGAGGCAAACACCGAACAGACAGACAAACATAGTTATGATGGGACCTTGTACACCCCAACATGATCAAATATCACATAATGGACTAAACAACAACATTGCATCACACACAACGACAAAAAACGCAACAGGACAACACAAATTCAAATTACAAACATAATTTTTTGTTGGCTCCTCTTAGATGCTTCTTCGTTGTTTGAATTTTTTGTGGCGTCGGTTGTGTGGTTGTTGTGCATGTGGTTGATAATGTTATTCTTGCTGCTACTGTTCATCAGGTTGATCATTTCATCTCGATAACCATTGGATAACAATCTTTGCATGATTTCAAACGTTTATATATTTATATATTAATTTAATATTATTACTTTATTTATTTATTTATTATATATATATATGAATTATATATAATTATATATAAGTGAATTTCGGCAACAATCTTTTTATTTTAAATTTTATGCATAATTCATTGAAAACGATACTGTTATTAACGTTATTTAGCTTTTTATTTAAAATTTTTATTTTACGAATAATTCTTTTTTAATTATAAATCCAAATTAAAAATAATAAGTTCACCAAGATTCATATTTTTAGCAATTAAAAAACTCGACGTTTCCAAAACTATGTTTCATAATCATGGACAATAAGTTAAATTTTATTTAATTCAAACTGACATGTGACGTCATAGAGATGTGCGGTATCGTTAACTATTAATTATGCAATTAATTATAAGTTAACTATTAATTATATAATTGATATTAAATTATTATTCTTAGCCTTTTTATTTAATATATATATATATATATATATATATATATATATATATATATATATATATATATATATATAGTCGTTTAGAAATTCTGGAGATTAGGAAAATTAAAAATCTTTCTGTGATGGAATATAGTCGTTTAGAAAAATTTCAGCAGATACAAAAACGACAAACTACCAGCCGACAAACACCAGACAAAAACGGCCAATAAACAAACAACCACACAACAAAAAAAAGATAATTAGACAACATGAAAAAAAATAAAAAACAAAATACAAGACAACAAAAAACCAGACAACAATCAGAAGACAGACACCAAAACGACAAACAACCAGACACGAAACAGCCAGTCAACAATCAGCCAGATAACTAAAATCAAGACAAAAAACACCAACTGGTAGCTGCCATTGTAAGTGAAGCCGACGAAAGGCAAGTGGTTAGCATTGAATGCTTTCGGAATGGGAAATCTTTCTGTGATGGTATCATCCTTTTCTATCTCGTCGAAGTTGCTCGTGTCTGTATCACATGATAACTCAGGTACGACTGGCGGGACGGCTGCAATGAGGAAAGGAATGAAGAAAAGGTGAAACGAAAAGAAATGAATAAAGGTCAACGCATTCAAAGAATAGATGGTCTGACTGTGTTGAAGTAAAAGGCCAAATTAAATTCATTGAAATGTACTAGGATCATGGCAAAAAGGATAAAAATATAAATTAAAATGATAAAAAGTCACATGAACGTCGTGAAATTGAATTTTTTGATTCGCTAAATTTTGTATTGAAGGTAGGAAGGAAGGTATGTAGCAGTAGCAAACTTTTTCTAATGGTGTCCCACGTCCACTGATCATTTTTGAAGAATGGATGATTCTTGATCTCATCAACACTCTGCCGGCCTATTCGTTCCAGTCTGTTCATTCGTTTATTCATTCATCCATCCATCCATTCATTCATTCGTTCGTTCGTTCATTCATTTATTCATTCATTCGTCATTTAACGGGTCATTAAAAATTCGTCGATTGATGGTTCAAGAATTAAACAAGAAAGAATTGATTGATTGATAAATAATTCAAAAATTAAACAAGGCATGAATTAATTGATCGATTGATAGATTGATAGATAGATAGATTGATTGATTGATTGATTGATTGATTGATTGATTGATTGATTGATTGATTGATTGATTGATTGATAAGAACAAAATTGACACATTTAGCATTGGAAACTTTTCCAGAACCATCAACAGAAGATCAACCGACTAGATAACACCAATCACCAAAATAGAACGATCAATCTCGTAAATTTTCGTGAATTCATGAAAAATTAAAAAAAGTCAATAAACAATAAAAAAAAATCAGTAGTCAAGAAGTAAATTTAATGAAGCAAAGTTGAGCAGCCACCGATCATTGAGAAAGGCAGAGATGAGATGCTTGGCTTCGTGAGAGATGTTGTTGCTGACGTCGTCAGGGAAGACCAGCGAGTTCTTGTGGTCCATTATTTTGCCGTACGTACCCACCAACGATTCTGCGTAGAAGGGTGTCTCCCCTGGGCAGGCGTGGAAAAAGTAGATGAATGACTGAATGAATAGAGCTAGGAATCAACGAATTAATGCATTAATAAAGGAATGAATTAATAAAAGAACAAAAGACCAAGAGAACGAATGAATGAATGGATTTTGTTGAATGTAATGAATAATTAAATAAATGTTATAAGAAATGGGACGAAATAAGTTAAAATGAAATAATAATTAATGACAAATAAACTAATGCAACATGAGACATCTAAATTTATTGAAATAAAAGATGATTGAGATAAACAAATATATGAGCACGCATAGGCAAAATTTTAAATGGCGACAACAAACAACAACAAACAAAAATCAGCAACGACAACAATTAAATATCAACAAAATCAGCAAATATAATAAAAAACTACTGCACGACCACCACCACCACCTCGAAAACAACAACTACTACTGCAACAACAACAAACAAACAACAACAAACAACTACGGCGACGAACCAACGAGCATCTCATAGAGGAATACGCCGACCGACCACCAGTCACATTCCCTGCCATAGAATCCTCCGCCACCTTGCGACTTGAGAACTTCCGGTGATATGTAGTCCGGTGTTCCCACTGCCGTGTCCGACTTCACTATCCCATTCTTTCCGTTCATTTCATTTTTAGAATTTAATTTCAGTTATTGAAATGAAGTTATTATTTTCATCGATTTATTTTATTTATTCATTCCAAAAATCAATGTATTTTTTATAGAGTAAGAATAACATTTCGTTAAAACTCATTAGCAGTGGTCGTACTGTCGTTCATGGCTGGAGAGTCGTAGAAAATAATAATTCAGCGATATTGAAATATTAGTCACCTCATACCTAAACATTATACACGCTGCATGTAAGCGAGAGCATACGCGCTCAGTCTTAGTCAATCATTTAAAAAGACAGACAGCTTGTTTTCGGGAGTGTTGCGGTTGCGAGAGCATACGCGCTCAGTCTTAGTCAATCATTTAAAAAGACAGACAGCTTGTTTTCGGGAGTGTTGCGGTTGCGTTGTTGTAAGAGAACGCCAAACCAGGAAGAGCAGTGCGCAAGGATGAAAAGAAAAAAAGAATAGTATTCGTTTGGAGAGGCTGGACACGTGTTTCTTCTCCACCGGTGACTCACCAGCAGCCCGAATACCTATCAGAATCATATCGCAGTTTTTCCTTATATAGCCTCACGAACTACTTCGTTAGTTTGTTTATTCAATTTAAGAATCGTTAGTTTTCTTAATCGTTAGGATTTGCGATCCGACAGAAGGTATGCCGGCGTTCGAATACGGTTCATTGGACTGATTGATGATTTTCTGGTCTTTGTTTAAGTTATGTCAGTCTTTGTTCTGTCAAAAACATTTCTCTCTTCAAATAAAACAAAACGCAACATAATTAATTTCTCGCTATGTTCTGCAACTTCTGAAACCATGTAGAATTAATTTCACTATAAATGCGCATGTTTCTTTTCTATTTAGTAATGTATCCGCTACAGGCGTGTTGAACGAAATATTTGTTAGGTTATTTAACGGGAACAGTGTTTTAATTATGTGAATTAATAAATTACTTGTCAAAGCAGACTGTATTATGGTTTAAGATTTTTATAAAAGTTGAAACAGACAATTAAATAGATTGAATAACTAACTTACTGGCTTGTTTGTTTTAAGCGTTAATGGGTTGATAAATTGATTTCACATGAATTAAAATTCTTAAAATTTAAGCACGCATTTGAATACATCATTAAAACGTAATTAGAAACGACTGACACAATTACAACTCCAAGTTAAAAAACCAATGAAAACACTGCGTATAATACGGCGTGCCATAAATATGATAATGAGGAGAAGATGCAAGCAACAACAAGGCGAGCCTGAAGAAATGAACGAACCTGGTCCATTCTCATACAAGTTCCAAAGTCCGCCAGTTTAAGATGGCCCTCACGATCTAACAACATGTTGTCTGGTTTCACGTCTCTGTGTATAAGTGGATTGGTTGTTTGGTTGGATGGATGTTTGTTGCATGATTGGCTGGTTGATCAAGTTAGTTAGATGGTTGACCAGTTGGTTGATTCGTCATCTTTTATTAAATAATCTAGCATGACCTGGTGCAAAGCTAGCAAGAACAAACAAAATTGAACTCTGATATACGCAACTTGGAAAACAACATACACTGAAAAACAGCAGTAGTTTAACTAACTCAATACATCACGATGATAATTAAATTACTGTAAATACACAGGGCGGACCGACCTGTGAATGAAGCCCATGCTGTGGATGGCGTCGAGGGCGAGGACGACCTCGGCGCAGTAGAACTTGGCCCACTTTTCGGGGATGTCGTAGTTGCTCATGAGGTTCACGAGGTCCCCTCCTGGCATGTAGTCCATTATCATGTACAGGTAGTTTGGGTCTTGGAAGGCATAGTGTAACTGGTGTGCGAGTGTGTGTTTTAGCTTTTGTGTTTGTCTGTATGCATGTGCTGAATTGGTGTTAATATTTGTTTTCCGCAATAATGTGCGATTGATGTTTGTGCATTGTAAGCAATAGTGTTTATTATTTTAAAATTAGCATATGTAACTACATAAGATGAGAAACATAATTGTAAAACTAAGAAAACATTATTCAACACATATTTGAGAATGGTAGGTAGCATGATTGATTTAAAAGTTAAATGTGACATTTGTGACTATAACAGTTAAAATGAGGTGATAGTCATGTAGATGCCTATCTTAAAGAAGCCTGCGTTTGATTAATTGAATCAGATAGCATTAAAATAGAAGGGGAGGGGGTGATAGATAATGCAAAAAAAGGAATCCCTCCCACCAACACACGAACATTTCACATTTTTAAAAAATATCGCAAAAAAGTAATATTTTACTGTCCCTGCAACTAAAAAAATTACAAATTTTTGTGAAATGTAACAAAACAAAGTTACAGAATGTTACAAAACGTTGAATGATGACATGAAAGTACTACTAGCAACCTTAACAACCCAAACAGTACTAGTAACCTTAACAATCCAATCACTATTTGCATGCGCCATTATCTCTCTCTCCTCCCAGAAGAATGCAGAATCAGACCTCTTTATCTGGTAGCAAATGATCAGTAGACAGATTGTTTGTTCGTTTGTTTGATTGATGATTAATTGATAGATTGATTATAAATAGAAATTGATTGATTACATGCAATGCAACATTGTGCTAACTTTCGTATATTTTAATCAAGACGATATTAATTTTATAATACGTCTAAGCCCTAAAACTAGCGTACATCATTCTATTAAAATTAAACCAAACAACAAAAAGGCAATCAAAGTTAATGGATAAAGTTAATAATTGGTATAAACAACAACATAATTGTAACAACTAAAATAACCATAACGTAGCCCTACCATTTCAAACTTGCTAAGCATTTTCATGGCGTAGACAGATTTGGTCAACTTGTTTCTAACCTTTAAACAATTAATTGAAGGATTGTGTTAGTAATCTTAAAATAAGCCACTGACATTGTTGAAACATGAAAGTTAAAAGTGAAAAAAAGTGAAAAAATTATAAAAGAAATCCGTGGCTGATTTGCCATTTATTGAACCTTCATCAAGAGCATGGTGTCTAGTGCTACAATGATGGCTGAACTGAATATAAAAATAAGAAAAGTCTTTGGGCAAACAGAATGAAAATTGTCTGGTTCTGCTGAGTATGAATGTGGAATGACAGAGTTTCCATCACTTATGGAGTTTTGAAGTTTTCAACAGTTGAGGTAAAAATAAAAACAAAATGGAAAATGAATTCATGAAGAAGAATGTGAGCAAACTTGTTGAACTTGTTGAAAGTGTAGAAAAAAATAAAAAAATTTTTAAACCAAGTCATTTGCAAGTGTGGGATTGAACCAACCAAGTATGAATGAGTACAAAATAAAGTCGCCTATCAAACGATGAGGTGGATGTGAAATTTGGATAGAGGATGGAACGTCTGAGATTAGATTCTAACTTTCCAATGCAGGTTGGTGTTTGGAAGATGTGCCAATAACAAAAGTACAACAAAATTGTGCAAGTTTTTTGCATAACGTAGATCCCCAATGAGACTATTAAAAGAAGCCGGGTCGCATGAAAAAGTTTCATAGTGAACAGATCAACACTGTACAAAATAAAACTAAATGATGGTATGCAAAAAAGGAAAACTGGAATGAGCAATTGTTGGAATGTAAGAGAAGATTGGGTTTGTTCTGAAGAATCTATAGAGGTCTATAAAGGCCTCCGAAGTAAATGTACAAATGTAATACGACATAGGACCAGATGATCAAATAAAACTTTATATACTTCAAGAACCAATAAAATATTTTTTCATGATCAAATTGTTTTAAAGCTTAAAAAGATATAATAATAATTTAAACAAACAATAAAAAGATAATAAACGAATTAAATAAACAGTCCACTGAAACAACTAACAAGTCTGACTTCCCCGAAAGCTCCTCGGCCAATGGTCTTGATCATCTCGTAGTCGTCATAGTGCATGCGACTCTTGTTCACGTCCCGTACATAAGGGTCATCTGAAAGTTGTGACATTGTGGTCTACCATAAAATTGACGCCCATTTACTAGTATTATTATTATAATTATTTTCATTATTATTACAATTATTGTTATTATTAATGTTCAAATAAATGTTAGCATATTTGATACAAGGAACAAGCACTTCAACTTGCAAGACATTCTTCTTATCAGAACTGAAAACCAGTGTATCATTATCATTATATTATTTATGACGAATATCATGCTGCTTTGTATAGTTGCTGATAATTATGACAGTTAGTTATCCTGGAATTATAGCTATAAATATAATCAACATCACCACACTAAGACATACATACAAATGTTTAGAGACATAAAAACCAACAAACAAACAAACCAACCAACTAACCAACCCACCAAACAAACAACCACCAATCAACAAAACTACCAAACAAGCAATCAGCTAACAAATTAAATTTATTGCACTATGGATTTGAATTAGCATGATCGGGGAGATATTTATTCAGAAGAAAACTCAGCACCACATTATGTATGCGACTCTATTATACTGAATGCAAACCATGTCTATTGCATTGGGTGAACGTAAAACATCATTAGAACGCAACACGAAAATAATGGTGATAATGTGATGATGGTAATGTATACAATGATCATTAATTTCGTTGCCACTATGTTATAATCTCTTCAAGTATCTAGTTGTTTTTCTCAATGATGATAACGATGATGATGATGTATATAACGTTGTTGATGATGATGATGATGATGACGACAATGATTGCATCGATATCACACTGATGATGATGATTACAGTGATGATATTATGAGTCAACCATGATGAAATTTATGATCAAAGAAATTAAATAACACGCCACAATCATTAAAATTATTATTCTAACCGACAGGACCACCACCATTCACCATCATCATCATCAACATCATCATCATTCTCAACCACAACCACGGCGCAACAACGCGACAACATCATCATCATTGTATTATAATGAAACTGACAACTAGCATCACATTCCTCATCATAACATGACAGATGAACTCGAAACCTCATTTGCTTGACACCCACATACACTCACCAACAATAAATAACATTCACCCAATGAAGGAAAGAAGGGAATAAAAACAAGAATCTGTATCCAGGTAGAAACAAATTCTGCAACTCTAAATAATAAATTACTTAGCAAACGTTCTCAAGAAGTAATTTTCTAAAAGTATACCAAACATGAAACTTTAAAATTGCATGCACAAATGAAAATATGCACGCACACATATGCGTGTGTAAGTGTGTTTTCATACAAACTCTTTGTGTATAAAAAGATATTAGGATTGTCACGAAACTGATCTTGTTAGTGTTCGCACACGCACACGCGCACGCACACACAACAAAAACACAAACAAGGTATATACGTTGTAGGCATATAAACGGAGGAAAAATAGAAAAATGATCTTAAAATACCTGCATGAGCATGCATAAATATCAGGAGCTCAAATTCAGTGAGGACATTGCAGAATGTCAATCAGTTTTTAAAACATTGTAACAGAAGCTGCTAATTGAGTTCCATCATGATCATCATCATCACCACCATCATCAGAAACATCATTAAAAACATCATTACCATCATCATCACCACAATCATCATCAACATCATTGACAGCAAATCATTAATATAATTCACAAGCTCCTAGAAACCATTAATCATAGTTTGTTCATTAAAATCATCACCATCATCACCATCATCATTACTATCAACATTATCATTATCATTTTATTTTCATCATCATCATTGTCACCATCACTATCATGAACATAATTTTTCCATTACCATAATAATCATGGTGTGATCAAATTTCATGAAGTTTTGAACATCCACTCATCATCATCACCTCACAAGTCTTAAAAACTTAAATACAAAAATAGACATACATATATATATATATATATATATATATATATATATATATATATATATATGCGTGTGTGTACGTAAGGTGATTCATTATATATATATATATATATATATATATATATATATATCCATTATTATATATTTTATATCTATTTCAAGTGACTTAAATAAATAAAAAATTTATTTTATAAAAATTTTGTTTTCAAATCTTAAACTCATCATATATTAAGTTTGGCAAATAAGTAAATAAGCTATAGCTAATTACTGGAACACAAAAATAATGCAAGAAACAAATGTCAGAAGAAATGTAAGGAGGTAAAGATTGGAAGAAGATGAGATGGAGGTGGGAGGGTGACCAGGAGGTGGAAGTTAATGAAAACAAAGCAGGATTTTTTACCCACACACACACACACACACACACACACACACAAACACACACACGCACGCACACATACACTATCCACATAATGACATAGATGAATAATGTCTAAATGAATGCTGTGTAATCTATCCTCAACATTATCAGAAAGCAGTATTTATAAACATATGTGTGCCCGCGCGTACATACATACATATACATCTACGAGTGTATGTGTATATACACGCCATACAAGAATGTACACCGATTGTATGCACATGCATGTATAATAGGTATGTATGTACATCCGCGCGTGTGTGTGTGTGTGTGTTTGTGTGTGTGTTTGTTGTATGCATGTGAGTTGATAGGATGGCATATTGAGGTGTGCTGTGTGCACATAATGGAATGTAATGCAATGCAATACCTTACAAAGAAGTTTATGTTACTTGTTTACAATCAGGTTAACCAGCCTATATACATACATTCATATCTATATATACAATACATATATTATATATATATATATATATATATATATATATATATATATATATATATATATATATATATATATATATATATATATATATATATGCAAATGATATGATTCAAATAACTCCAAGTTATTTATTTAAAATCACCATAACAATTTCATTATCATCTTCTTAACACAAACAGGAATGGAAAAAAACAACATGACATCGCAAAAACATTCCCATTCAAAAACTGTCAATCAAAACAACCTTCATTCTCCACAACGACAACATCATCATTACCATTACCATCATCATTGATAATTCATTACCCTCTTCTTCAAGATCAGCATCACCATCATAACCACCACCATCATCACCACTACCACCATCAGCGTCGAATACTAACATCTATTTATGAAGGCATCAACATTTTTGTTCCTCCTGATAGCTGGAAAATTGCAATCATCAAACAAGGCCTGAAAACCATCCTGCAATTATTATTTTTCTGCTGTATTTTCATTAACTCTATATCTCTATTTATTTGTTTGTTTGTTTGTTTGTTTGTTTGTTTGTTTGCTGGTTTGTTTGTTTGTTGGTCTATTTATCTGTTAGTTTATTTATTGATTATTATATTTATTCATTAGTTAATTAATTAATTAATTTATTCATTCATTCATTGATGTTTATTTATTTATTTATTGTTATTCATTATAGAGAAAAGACTTGAAGAGATATACTTGAAGAGATTATAGCATAGTGGCAACAAAATTAATGATCATGACTACCATATGCATGTAAAACTGGATGATGCATTCATACTTTCATATTTTCTTAATTTTCCAAACATCACCATTATACAACCACAACAAAACCACATCATCACCAACATTGTCATCAATCATATTATCAGTATAGCTGCTGACATATCATCATTATCCTCAGATCTTACTATATTTACACATACACACGCAAGCACGCACGTACACACACACACACACACACACATATATATATATATATATACACACACCAACACATATACACACATACAACAAACTACTGTCCAAATTGAAACAACAGAAGTTAAGCATAAATCAGAAATAATACAAAACAACAGACTCCCCATCTCCAACTTATTCTTGCTCTGGCAACCTAGACCAGGTGCTCTTCACATAACATACGCCACATGTGATGCAACAGTTCTCCGTAAATGTTATTAAAAAGATGAATGAGTAATTGAGAATTAATTGAGAAGCAAGAACCATTCAATGTTGCAACAATTGATGGCTAACAACCAATGCTGTTGGAAGAAAAACTTTTTATTTATAGAAGCAGGACAATCTGATTTGATGTTTTGATACTTATATATTGAACAATTGGTACCTTACACTGCTTGAAAAAGTCTTCTAGAGGCACCTCTAACACTGAATCCACTTAAATTCTTATTATCACTGTTAACCACCAATCATTCCAATACACCATTTAAAACTAATTTTTACAAAATAAGATGGTTTGTGATACTCTGGCAATCTATCCAATCTAATTTAAACTATTCACTTTGTTGCAAGCTCACTGGTTTCACACCGTTCAAACTAACAAATTATTAAATTATTACATGACAAAAATGTATGCTCCAATCTATGACCTAGCTGTCAAAACCATCATTTTGTAATAATTTGCTTCCTACCTTCTGTGTATCACATTTCTTTTGATGATAATTCTCAAAATTTGAAATAATAAAGTCTACAAAAGTAAAATGTTCTGAATATCTCTTCAAGTCATTCATAAAATGGAATGATGAGTTACACAATATAAAGAATGAACAACTTAAAATGAGATATGTTCTTTTTGTCAAATGGTTTAACAACAATTTACATTAATGGTATTTACCTGCTGCCCAGTGAATCCAACACCTTCATTAAATTTTATTTCAGATGATAGTTACACATAAAAATTTGGTAGCATAATTTTAATACCAATATATATATATATATATATATATATATATATATATATATATATATATATATACCTAAATATGGAAGCACAGAGGAAAAAGTTTAGCTACTTAACTTAGATTTGTGAGTATTAAATATCATAAAAATAAAGTTAAAAGAAAAATGTACTAATTAAAGTACTAATAAAATCCCGGTTATGTAAACAGTTTTACCCTTTTTGTTAAAATTATTGAAAATAAATAACTTTTTGTAACTAACTGAACATTTAATTTTTTAATTAACCAATTTTCTGTATTTCATTTTTTTAATAATTTAGAATTTAATAGTTATATTTTTTTATCTAATAATACCATCAAAAATTATTTAATTTTATTTTGTAACATAATATTAGAAGAGTCAGGTTCAAAATCAAAAGATAGACCATTATTAAAAAATGAATTTGGTCATCATTCACATTCATCAGAAGTTATGAAAAAAAAATTTATGAAAATGATTGAATTGAAACATCAACACCATCATCATCATCATCATCATCATCATAAATGGATTTATTTGAGAATACACCAACCAGAAGTCCATCAACTTGAAGTTTTGTTGATTTGTTCAACAAAATCCTCTCAAGATTTTTCAATCTTTCAATCATTACCTCTTCCCCCATCATGCTAATATTGTTCTCAACAGAACCTCCGAGTGACAATGAATTATTGAAGCCAGAAAATATCCATAAATAAATAATTAAATCAATTTAATTATTCAATTATAAATAAAAATAGCCCCGTCCTCCAGTACATCCAGATTCTAGAGATGATTTTTTTATAAAATATTTAATATGCAAATGCAAGAGACATAGAGATATGACTAAAATGTCTTTAATGCTAATTAAAAAATCATAGATATCCGTGAAATGAAAATTTAAAAATTTAATTAAGCAATATAAACGGGTGTTAATGCAGAGAATAATGCGAATTTTATTCTTAAAATAATAAAAAGATCCGCAAGTACTCGTTCGTATCAAATCTGATCGCAACTTTTACACTAAAAACATTAAATAGGCAATGACTAAAGGTGTTTATTATTTGATTTTAATGACAACTTTTTTCCGTCAGGCGTTTAATTACGTTACATAAAAATAAATAATTTTTCTATAATGCACATGAAGTTATAACAATTAAAAACAATGGTACACGGAGTTAATTCAATGTAGCAACCCAAAAAAAAGTGAACATGCATAACATTAACATAATATAACATGACATGACATGACATGACATAACATAACATAACATAACATAACATAACATAACATAACATAACATGACATGACATAGTCTCTAATTTATTATTTTTATTTATTTCAATGGGAAAGCCAAAAAAATAAGATTCTCGTGGATAGGCCCCCCTTAACTAAGATCGGAATTATTTGTCCACTTGTCATAATATTCTTCGACTAAAATAATAAATTGAGTAAAAAGAATTAAATAAAATAACTAAGAAACATAACTATTCTTTGCTTGTTAGAATATTCTTTGTCCAAAATAATAAATTGAATAATAAAATAATCGAAATGACAAAATAACTGAGAAGCATAAAATTTGATTAAGTAGATATGCCAGGTTGGTTGATTAGTCAACTACGATTACAACGATTCAAAGAGGTTTAAAATTGACAGCAAATTTTTAAAGGCTTTTTGAATATAAAAAAATTATTAATATTTTTTTATACTAGAGGGAATAACACTGTCCCATAGCATTGGAGCAGTATGAGATATGCATGCTTTTAAATACACTTAATCTTGAAAAAAATATATAAAATGTATGACTTTGTCTTGTATCTAAAAATTTTAAAATATGCGAAAAATTTAAGAAATGTGAAAAATATGAACGCAATAAATTATGCAAAAATTGATTGAATATTAATTGTCAGTAGGCTGATTCAATGAACAGATGTTTGGCATGGTCAGTTGGTTTTAAATTATAAAGTATTCTTAAAATGCGCTTCTGGCAAATAAGCAAAAAATTATTTAGATATTCAGGACTATTACCCATGGATATAATATATCCATATTATATATATCCATGCTATTACCCCTAACTAAGTTACAATAAATTAAATGCGGAAAGTAAAACTATTAGACAATTAAACAGTGTTTTATTTTATTTACGAAACCTAAAAAACAATGGATTTTATTTCTTATATCTAAGACATGGACCGAAAATAGAGTGTTGATTTTGAGGAGTTTATAATGAGTTTATTGTTAGCAAACCATTCTTCAAATTTATTTAATTCGTTTTTTACCCACTTATTATCATCCAGTAAATTTTTTGAGGTGTAACTAAGTTTGTGTCCACAGCATACTTTATGCATTTGAATAGCGAGGATCCGTTTAACTTTAAGTAGATCGTGTAGTTAGTGTTTCTCACTTGTGCTGCAAATGCATGCGTTGTTCACCAGTTTGGAAAGGCTGCGCTTTATCGACTGACTTTCGCTTTTTTTGTTCTATTTAATCATAACTTGAGAATTTATATGTATCATTTTTGTGTGAAGTTAAAGTATAATAAAAAGATGATGCTTGAAAAATTAACAAACTAGAGAGAGAGAGAGAGAGTCTATATAAAAAATCATTTAAAAGTTAAATCTATAATAATCTCCGAGGAAACTTATTGTGCAAAGTAGCCAGCCAGGCCCGCCGACGGTAATTTCGGGCTCTAAAATTCTCTCATGGCTCTCTCATGGTTCCCCAGAACGGCGGAACATTAACCTCTAAAATATTTTGATTTTAGATTATGATAATTAAAAAATGTACAGATCATATGCATATATAATTTGTACCTAGTATTTATACTTTATATAGGTAAGTTAGACCGATTCATAATAATGTTTTCGTCATGTTGGGCGTTTTTCTGGAAGGTCTGTTTCACATGGCAAGTCAGACTACATTGTTGCTGCCGTTATTTTGGCTTCCGCTAGCAACACATCCCATTTATCAAGTAGGTTCTTTAGCTCTTCAATGCAAACTGTCAATGTTTTCTTCTTCTATATCTAATATGACTTGTCTGGCTTGAATAACTTTGTTTCGATCCTTTATAGCAACTAAGATTTTGGGCCAAATTGTAGCCATTAAAACTCACTTTAATGCTTTCATAATGCTCAATTCCTTGTAATTCAGTCTTATTTCCTGATGACAAATTTAGTTCTTTACATTTAATAATTGCATGTTTGACAATTGGCACGCTTTGCCATAGGCTTTTCACTTCCACAAGTACCGAGCATCTATTAATAGTTTGAGAAAGATTATGCAGTGAACATCGTCAATCTCTGTAGAATTTCCAATCGTTGAGGTCTGTAACCATGGATATATATATATATTTATTTATTTATATCCATGTCTGTAACGCAAAGAAATTATACATTTTTTGAAATATTCCGAAAAAAAAGATATAACATCATTACAACATTCTGCAGCACGCATACCGCACAAATTTTTACAATGCGCGCTACGATTTGACATTTTCAATGGAGGATATGAATGTACGATGATTGCCTGTGCTCCTTTTAATTTTTCTGCCATTTTTGATCTCGTCAATCATCCAAAGAAATTGTTTTTCTCATTTTTTTTTGTTTTTCCTATTTGATCACATCTGAAATATCCTGGCCGGTCTGTTGTTGTAAACAACCAATGCAAGAAAATGTTTTTTGACAATAAACATTAAATATATTTTTTATTGCTGGTAATAATATTTTCAAAAGTTGATTGGTAAGCCTAGCCAAGGGCCCCTAAAACTCGCCGGGCCCCTAGGTATTCCTAAGGCTCCTATATGTACTTTTATTTAAGAGGACAGTCCTTTTTATTTGCATTGGCGTCCTTTTTTAAAATATGTCCTATTTTTGTTTTTTTTCGCTACTTAGCCTGAAAATTTCAAACTACATAATCGGGAATAACATAAATGGCGCTCTATAAAAATAAAAGTGAATGTTTGAGCGCGTGGAGCGCGTTCAGTTCTTCGCGTCGTTATACACAAGAACGGCCACTGTTACTATGGATATATTATATATATATAATATATATCTATGACCATTACTACTTAATTATTTAAATTTTATCAAAAAACGATGCCAAAACGAAAGTACGTATATCGTGAACAGTTTTCTACTGGTAATAAAAATGTAGAAAACGCGAAAATTGTGCAAAAGCAAAAAGTCAATGGAGTGATGAAAGAAATTGTCTAAAAATAGAAATCGTTGAAAGTTTAGTACGGGTCAAGTTTAACTATTTGTTAACATGCTCTGAAATGTACAATTATTTGTTCAAAAACGATGACCTAATTAAATAAAATCTATCGAGCAATAAATATGCTCGTTGATTTTAGTAAACGTTTGTCAATAAACTGAATTTAGATTTTTTGTGAAAATTGTCCTTTTTTTGGCAGAAAGTAAATGGGAGCCTTAGGCATTGCTCTCCCTCTCGGTTGTACTAAATGTAGCAAAGACAAGACATAACTTACACATAACAAACGCGTGCATGGAGAAGGGAATTGTGTGTTTTTTTATTAAGTAAAATTGGATACATGTTAAAAGTTTAAATAATCAAATTCAGACAAATTTAAGATCATTCAGAATGGCACAAAAAACGGTAAATTAAAGTTTAAAAAAATGCAGTTCAGGTTCCAATGGAAAAAGCAACAAATCAGATTGAATTGATTAGGTTAAAAATGAATTAACTAACCATTTTACCAACAATGAAAAAAATTAACTTTGAAATTCAACAAAAATGATCAAAAATTAAATTAATTGAGCTAATTATATTATGTGATGACATCAGGTTTTGTTCTGCCAGTTATCTCTTTTAAACGTGACAACTCCAATGCTATCTCAACCAATGGTTTCAGCTGGACCTAGTCAGAATTTTTCGTAAATTTACTCCCTGATAACCTAACTAAAAATGTTCTTTAAAAAATACTTTGAAAACTTCATGTATTACAATACATAAGTTAAAAACGATTAGTGATCCAAGATAAAAAACTAACTCTTCAAAAAATTACATAAAAATTACAAATTTGTCAAGATATGTAAAAGTGAATTTTATAAAAAATTTTATTTCATAACAAAAACAGAAAGAGGTAAAAAATAGTAACAAACAATTATAGAGAAGTAACGTAAGAAATGAGTTGAATACTTTGTTTACCTGTGGATCAGCAAGTATGTTGTTTTGATCTGCTTCATAGCTATCGATGTACATTCGAATGGTGGCTCCTGACACACCAGTACCACTCAACCGAAAGATGATTCGAGAATTATCTTCAAAAGTTATTATCAGACCCTAAAATAATCACAAATTTCAATGTTAACTAGAAAAATTTGATTAAATTTAAATAATTCAATTGAAATTGTTTTGCAATTCAAACATACTTGATTCTTTGAAACACTTTTGTCAACAGGATCAGTGTAGGAAAAGTTTTCTCCAATTTTAACTTTGTATGACTTTCCTGACGCAGTGAAGGTTTTGCCTTTAAAGTTGTCAGCTGTTATCAGCTTTTCCAGCTCAGACATCAGCTGGTCACCTTTAGCTGACTCACAATTCTCATAATCATATCTATAAAAATAAACACATTTCAAAGTTAGAGCAACAATAAAGTCACTTCCATCAACTATATTAAAACTAGTGGTGTAAAATTACTGTTTGGTAAGAGAATACTTCAGTTACTTTTCAAGAGTAATCGAATGAAATAAATCGATTATATTTTCGGTTCTTTTCTATTCCATTTGTTTGTAAAAAAAACTAGGCAACACTTTTTTAACTTTTCACGTAATTTTTAAACAAATTAAGCGTTAAAAAGCATGCAAGTTTTGAATTTTCGTTCAAAACTATTAAGAATCTAAGTACTTGAATAAGTAATTGATTATGCTTTAAAACAAAGTGTCCTAACTGGTAATTGAATACTTTTTAAAACAGATTCATTAGTACCAAATACTTTGTGCACTCGAGTAAAGGTATTCAATAAGTTCTATTTGTTTCATCATTAATTTTAACAAACATCACTAACAACAGACAAAAAATTATAATTAATTATACAATCCAATATATGAATGCTATTAAAAGTTCAGTCAATTTTTTTAATCATTTAGAATCACGAAAAGCTCCCAACCATTACATTACTGGCTAAAGGATGTTATGAGAAAGTAGGAGAGGCTACAGAGACAGCCCTAGTGGTGATGGTTGAAAAGATGAACGTATGCAACATGAACAGGAACAAGTTGTCAAAGAAGAATGCCGGTGATTACTGCAACAGAATGCACTAAATCCACTTCTTTTGCGGCATCCTCAAACAACGACAGATGATCAGCTGGAAACTTGCTGACTTTCTCAGCAAGGTCAGCATCAAAATGGAAAAGCATCAAGGTATCAAAAACCTTCATTTTATGTAAACCACACAAATCAGTGTAAGATCTGTCAAGTTTTAATTACCTTGTATAGAAGTTCCTTCCAAATGCCTTCCAATGTTGAAGGACTACATTTTCAACAGATGTCTTCTTGTGTGCCAAGATTGACAACCAAGCCAGGCACGCCCACATGCCATCCTTTTCTCTGTCATTGTTATATCATGTTGAACATACATTTACTTACAAATATAATTAATTGTTTACAACCATAATCAACTTTATAAAACATTTGGAATTATTGAAATTTCAAACAGGGATAATGAAAACAATGCATTAACAGTCAATCACAATATCAACAATCATGATGGCAATGAGTGGCAGTTATGATGGAAATAAATTAATTCTGGTGATGATGGTATGATAATCAATTAACATGATATATGATAGAGCAGCAACCATCCAAATGTCATCAAAGTTGATTAACTACATAGAGAAATGAAAAAAATGAAAAGCAGTGATACAAAATGAAAAAATGTCCAACTAAATGATGCAAATTCAAATTTTCAAATAAAAAATTACCGGAACATTCAAAGTGAATACAAGTTAGGAAGGAGTAAACAAATAATAACAATAACAATAATAATAATAATAATGAAAAATGTTAAGTGCTGATGAACTAACCTAATATGATCGGAGCCAGTGCCAAAACTTTCTTCACCACATAGGGACATGACATGAGCATCCATAAGATTCCCAAAAAATTTCCAGCCTGTTGGTGTCACAAAAAATTTATGGCCGGTCTTTTCTGCAACTCTACAAAAATCAATTTATTCTAAAAAAACATTTAAAGAAAGTTTTAATATTAAAATACCTCTAAAAGTGATAGATTGAAAAATCATAAAAATTCTTTTTGTGTAAAAGACAAAAAAAATTATTTTAATAATTCTGCCTAGAATAGTTTGAGGAGAACTAACCTATCGAGAGCGGAGCTGGTGGGCATGCTCCTTGCAAAACCTTGTGGAGGATGTTTCTGAAAGTATGGTATGCACTGGACATTAGCTGCTATGACAGCCAGTGAGTCACTGGGATTCACAAAAAAACCATTTTTACCCAGTATCATGTTGCGGTCCTAATCAGAATTTACAAATAGAACAATTTTTTAAATTTTGTATACCAATTTTTATTTTATGAGACACTTAAAAAGACAACAAACATCAACATTGGAAAAATTCTCAGAAGCTAGATAATTCAAAACAACACTAATAAACAAGAGCAGAAACAAACCCCATCTCCATCGAATGCAACTCCAAAATCAAAAACTCCTTTTTGCATGACTTCAACAAGATTATGTGCATAGGTCAAGTTGGGATCAGGATGTCCGCCACCAAAATCAGGAAGAGGATTGCAATGACTGGCATTTGCTTCTGGGACACCTAACTCATTGCATAACACCTTCACCACATATGGACCCATAACTAAAAATGCAGAAAATCCAGTAAAAACAAAGCATTTAAAAAAATTAATTTGTTAAATTAAAACAGTCTAGTAGTCTGTAAAATGAACACAGAGTCTAGTTTTTACCTCCATGAAGAGCATCAGCAGTTACTTGAAATCCAGAACTTATAAGTTGTTTGATGGCTTGGAAATCAAATATTTCTTTCATAAGCTCCAAGTAAGCATCAACCGAACCAACGACTTCCACTTCAAAACTGTGTGAAGATTCCACAGCTAACTTAACACAACACAACTTTGATACATCAACTTTAATTTCAGGACAAATGAGATAACTGGTAATTGATTTTGACAGTTCAAACATTTTGTCTGTAAGATTTTCAAGAGCTGGTCCTATAAATTTTTTAAAATTTAGAATTTCATTATTTAAGCATGTACCATATCTACATCTTGTGTGATATAATTTATTATCGAGTAACCTCCATTGCAGGTGTTGAACTTGATACCAAAATCATGATCAAGTCCCCCAGGATTGTGAGATGCTGTCAAAATTATTCCACCACTTGCTTTCTTCTTTCGAATATAACATGAGACAGCTGGTGTTGACATAATTCCATTTCTACCAATGTATAACTTGGCAACCTGTGGTTACAAAATTAAATATTACTGTAAATAAAATTATTATATATTAACCTTCAAGATTTAAGAAAACAGTTTAATTTTTTAATTAAATCCTAAAACAAAAATCAATACGAATACATCAAACTCACTGATATATAAAATAGAAGGCTTCAATCTCAATGCCTTCACTTTAGTAGTCAATGATTAAACTTTGAACATTAAATAAATAAAAGCAATAATAATAAAATTAATAATTGTATATAATATATATCTAAATAATATTCAATAATTTGATATTAAATTTTACTAATATTAAAATTTGAGTTTAAAAAACAGCATTTAAAAAAGAAAACCTTGTTTGCAGCAGATATTTGTATGATTTTCTGCAAAGCCTCATTATTATAATATCGTCCATCGCCACCGACAACCAGCGTGGACCCTTGCAACCTGTCCCCCAGACCTGCCCTCAATATGCATTGGACAAATGCCTCAGTGTAGTGTTCTTCCATAAAAGTTTTCGTTGCTTTCCTTAGACCACTTGTTCCCGGTTTCATTCCAGGAAATGGCTTCATAGAAACCTCCAAAATTTTTAATTCAGGCATTTAGAAACGATCAGCAGACGAGAAAACAGGCACCACTGGTCAAAGTTTCACAGGATGAATGAAACTTTGTGAAGGTTCAAGGACAGTTGATGTTGAAAGTCAACGATCGAGATAGAAATGAATTATATTTTTCTTCTATTCAACGCTTGCGGAATTTTAAATGTTTCAAATAAATAGTTTTAGAAAATTATAAATAGTATTAAAATAAATAATGTTTTAAATCTATTGATTTATATATTATTTGTTTTTGATATCCGCCATACTTCGTGTTTTTAATTCGCTGTTCCGAGCGTGGAGGTTAGTTTCTTATTTTGAAATTTCCGGAGTATTTCTTGAAGAGGATTGTGTAATGGTAGTTCGTAATCCGATAAATTTTTAAATATTGAGTTTAATGGTTTCTAATTTATTTAATTACTGAAGTTTAGGTGAGTCTTCTCCAAAGAAAAGATGAATCCCACTAAGCCGGCCTGGGAGTTACTTGGAGAAGAGTTCGTTAAAACGTATTACACGACTTTTGAGCACCACAGAGATCAACTCATTGCTTTATATTCTGTTAGTTCATCAATACATATTTTTACTATAAGTCTTCTTAAATGCATTGTTTTGTTTTTCAATGAGATTAATTTTTAATTAAAAGTGGGTTTTTAGTTCCTCTCATCTCAGTTATCTGATTAGTGATTTCATACAAACAAGATTTATTTACTTTTATATTAAATTTAAATTAGAAAGTTTTTTTTAGCATGTTTACTTTTCCTTTATCCGCTAACACTTGTCTTATTAAATCTGAATGAGTACTTCATGCTCATGGTTTCTCTGATCTTGCTCGGTTTCGTAGTTAGTAGACTCTTAAAAAAATACTCTCTGATGTTTTTATAAATCACATATAATTTATATGAGATTTATAAAAATTATTCTGCTTCTTATATCTTCCTTGCCTAGTTAGAAAAAGTATTCTGCTTGTTACATCTTTCTTGACTCTAACCTAAAAAGTTTTGCCGTATAATTGTAATGAAAATTCCATTTTAATATTTTTAATTTTTCATCATATACACGAGTTTGTAGTATGTAAAGGCTTTTTAATAGCTGAACAAAAAATAATAGCTAATGTTTCAAGGTAAAAATGTACTTCTGAAAAAGTTGTGTCAAATTTCAAAACAAAAAATTATGGTCATAACTTTTTCTAGGTTGATCTGGAAGAGGTCTAGAATTGACTGCTAGATTATATAATGAATGTATGTAAAGTAATCATTGTAAATAAGAGGTATTAATATCAACAATAATAATTGTATAAATTTATTATATCTATAATTTTTTAACTTGTCATTTTTTGAAGTTACGGTTTGGTTAACTCATATATGCATTTATAAATATCTGAACAAATTATAATGAATATAAACTATTATAAAGAATAAAGAAATTATAAACAATTTAATAATCAAGTAGAATTAAATAGAGTTTGTTTTGAGGATGGTAAAAAAGGAATAATTAATTAAATAATTAATTAAATATTTAATTGATTAATATTGTCACACCCAAGCCTGATGCTATGTTCACATTTGAAGAGCACAAGGCTCAAGGACAAGCAGCTATAAAAGAAATTCTGACGGTAACATTTTTTTTATTATTATCCAGGTGAAATTTTTTTTTCAATTTGTCAAGATTTATTTTTAGAATGTTTATTGTGTCTGGAATGTTTAAATATTAAGAAGAACAATTTTTGGAACGTTATATTCTATATACAGCATTACATCCATCATTTTCAATTAATGTAGGTACATAATCTTGATTGATTTTCCTTGATATTTGCTGCTAGTAGGTGACCTCAAGTTGAAATGGGATTTTTTCATTATTAATATGTTATGGGATTGTTGAGTTTAGAGATCTGCTTGCGAAATCTGATGTATGCCAAAGAAGCACTCCACACGATTTACATAATTAACATCAAAATCTCTTTAATTTTCTATTAATTATCTTCAATTTACATTAAATTAACTTCTTTTTTTAATTATTTTAACTTTCACATATTTAAGATAAGTTGAAGAAAACATCAGAATAATTTGTAGCATAGTGGTTTTGTAAAATTTTAGTGTGAATCTGCCGTGAAAAGAATTATTGCTCGTAAGTTAGGATGGTATATTAAATGTATATTATGTCTTGTGTTATATCCTAGTGGAGGGGTAATATTAAAATAGTAAAAGTACATTTTTATCCACTATTTAGAAAAAGTTATGAAAATTCATAATGTATTAAATGTCACCACGTATAAATTTGTGTACTTTAATTTATTAATTTTATGTTGGGTAAGTTTTTTGTCAATGTAAAGAAAATATAACTTTTACTTTCAAAATTTGTTGAACAAGGTTTGCTTTGAGTTAGTGGGCTGAAAATTGAAACGTTCATCAAAACAGGAATTAAGTCGTTGAGATAACAAAGTAAAAAGTGACCACAAAGAGAACCAGGATCTTTAAAGGAAATGTGGATGGATGTGCCAGAGATAAAGAGAAAATATATTCAAAAGACATGGATTGAAACCTTTTAAAAATTAAATCTCAAGAATACAGAATTCATTTGTAATGCCAATTTTAACATAGTGGGTCAAAACATGGAACCCAACATAGACAATAGCAAAGGCTGAAACCATGTTGAGAATCAGCTATGATGATTGCCTGACAATTGGGAAAGTCCAGAAGATGTTTGGAATCAACAAATATGAAGACTGACCATTTAAGCATTGTTGGTTGTAAACAACAGGATACACAAATGAAAATAATAATTGTAAGTGGACCCATTGGTATCATCAAAGCGTTTTTGTAAAGAAAACAAAGTTGTAGAAGTTTGCCAACAATATGTAAAATTAATTTAAATTTACAAGACATGCAAAAACAATTACTATGTAATTCTAGGGTTCCACTCAGGTGACATTTAAAGTATGCGACTTCACTTTTAGTGTCTACACAAGTGTAGACACTAAAAAGGAATAGTGATCTCAGTGTTATCTATGTATTTTTGTATCTTCCAGTCTCAGACACTCGTCCATTTGAACAATTGGTTGAGCCCGGGAGATATAAAATAGGGTTAAAAAATATCGAGGCCACTATGCCTCGATAGACATGCATATTCCTTGAACCGATTCACTTAATAATTAGTTGGTCATATGTTCAACTTAAGTTATCTTTATTCCTGAAGATATGTTTGCCTTTGAATCTTTAAATAATTAAAAGGATACTTTGTTAACATTGAAATTTACTCATTCAATGTAATATTTAAAGGAGAAGTTGCGATTTGGATCAATACAACATGTTGTTACAAAGGTGGATTGCCAGCCTACATCTGATAGTGGAATTATTGTTTTAGTCACTGGTCGACTCAAGGTATAAATTATACAATTTTATTTTATTTAGGACATGACGTTTAACATAAATTCAACATATTTTCTTTATGCATTTAACAGGCAGATAATGACCATCCCCATGGTTTCAGTCAAACGTTTTTCATCAAACCATGCAACAACAGCTATTTTATTTGCCATGATATATTTCGACTGTCCATACACGATATGTAGCACTTTTCCCAATTTTGTTTCTTTACCACAGCAGATAATAAGCTTGAGACCCTGGTGTTACACTATGATCTAGCCAAAACGTTTTAATTTACTTGAGTTTTCAAGCTTTGAATAGATTAAATGAATTATTTTTTATATTTAAAAGAAATAAACAAAAACTAATTTAAAACTTTGTTTTGTGGGTTTGTGTTTCCATTTGCACGTGCTCTTTTTATGGTTCATACGATGTTTTTTATTTCAAAAATTCAATAACAAAGGCAACATGTTTGTTCTGTTGTAAAATTGTTATCTCCAACAGCATACAGGCTGAAGTCTCATAAACGGGATTGATCTTGAAGGCTTACTAGTTTTCTAAACTAAGCATAAATGATTTCATGTGTTGGGTCCTCAAGAACTGTGAGTTTGAGCAGCTGGACTATTAATATAAAGGCACCAACAGTAAGGTATAGATTGGAAATGATTTGCGCTGGTATGCATCTGTCTATGCGTTCTGAAACCCAAAGGTTTTTTTTTGTTATATTCGAACCCAGCCACTGCAAGCACTACGAAATAGCTCAATTGTATTCAAAATATTAAAAGACAATACAACGAGCAATACCTTCAGACAATAATTCTTTCATAAAAATATCGTTCAAAAAATTACGTACGGTAACAGACCCATTCAATCCTATCAATCGAGCAAGTTTTAATCGATGGATGGTTTCTTTCCATACCTTCAGTAAATCAGTCTGAACAAACACTACCATGATCTGTTAGGCGAACACTTGCACAGCTTCGATCCGGCCGTAGCAACCTTACTTAACAACAGACCTTTGGAAAAATTCTGTGGAGGTTGCAAGTTGGCACAGCCTCGGTTGAACCAATCAGCAGGTCTCTGACATAGGGCAACAACAAAATATACTAGGCAGTCTTAACCCCTAGGCCATCACGTCTATATAACTAAATAAAATTTATTAACTTGATATAATTAAATTAAATTGACCTTGATAAAATAATAAAGACGATGAAATTAAACATCTTAAACAAAGGCATAAAAAATAATTTTGACATTTACAAACTAAATAACTGGCAATTATTTGCTTCAGTTTTGTTAAATTACTCAAATGTCAAGTTTTTACATAAGTTATGTAGATAGATGGCACAGTTTTTGTAGCCCGAGGGTTCAATTTTAAGTATAAAAGGGCGTGTAAGGGGTTCTGAGTCTGTCATCTGTGTTATAATGAACATAAAAAGAGGCTTTGTGCTTACTTACTAAATTTTCTCAACAGCTGATTTTGTTGTGTTGTTTTGTTTACTATTTCATTTCTGCCACAAAATTGATCAATTTGGCTAGAAATTTTAAATTTTGGCGTGAACGTCTCTACGTCAAACTCGCAAAAGTAAAATTTTAATTTTTTATTAAATTATTTTCGTTTGTTTTCTTTCAATCTTATAGGTTGATTGCTGCAATAAACTCTTTTTAAAAACAATGAACAACTTTTTCTTTGTTAAAATGTGAAGTGAGGAACAAAGAAAGTTTGCATTTATTAACTTTTAGTTGAATAAATAAGTAAATTTTTAGCAGCAGACTGTTCTGAGATTTTTAATAAAGGTTTCCATTTCCATACTGAAAAAAATTATAAATAAGTTTTGTTAATTTTTTTTTTTCTGTATAAAATATAAAATAAATCTATTGCTAGTCTGTATTCTATATATTTTGTTTCTTTAGTTCTGTTATTTGAAAAAAGAAAATGTGGAAAAGCTGGATGGACTACTACCACCAGTGGAGTAGCACACCAAAGCCAAAATGGAAAAGCCATGAGCACGAGAAAGCCAGGAAAAGTGGAAATAGCAGTGATGATCTTGTGGAAAATGATGAATGGGTTTTGGTTAAAAAGCCAGGTTATATTTTCCTGTTACTTGTCATTGTTAAGTTTACATTTGTTTTTAATGTGAAATACTGCTACTGTGTTTCAATACAAAAGTATGTCATTTTTGTTCAATGTTTAGTAAATATCTCTGTATTTTCAATGTTGTTGGTGATTCCAAGCTAAAAGGAAGGTTTTATGAAGTTTTCTCATTTTAAGTTTCAAAATGCATTAAAATTTTTTAGAAGTTTTAACGAAAACTTAACATCGTAAACCTGACTGATGATAATCACAACATAAAGTCTGATGATGCATGTAATGCAGTTTTCAATTAAAAACACTCAGAGCTTTTCAATATGCGATGATGAATTTGAGGCGTTTTCCAGTCAAAAATTGTATACAGTGTTTATAATGTTGGATAGACAGGCAGGTAGGCAGTCTTTGAAGATGTGACGGAATCACTGTAGCAGTGAGGGATTGATTATCTTATTGTAGATGGAGATACTTTGGTGAGGTTAGTGGTGCAAGATAGAATAACAAGCACATCATACCTGGCAGATGACTTAAGTAGGAATAGACATGGTCGATATATATTTTAATTAAAAATCTGGAGGTGGATATTTTTCATGACCAATTAACTAAAAAATAATTTTAATTTTTTAATTTTTTTCTTTCAGAGTCAAGGGTTACTAAAAACAAAAAAAGAGATGCCTTACATCAAATTAATCTAGATACAGACCTTCAAATCTATGATGCTGATGATGAGAATGCCAGGGATGAAAAAGATTGCAAAGTACAGACAAACAAAGTTAACCCCTCAGGTAACACAAAAAGGAAGAAATCAAAAATTAAAGTTCACGTTGATGAGGATGAAGAAGAAGATGATGAAAGAAGAAAATCTTTGATTGCTTTAAATGATCATTTCTCTAGGACGTTATCTACTTCAAAAAGTTTCAGAAAAACTCAACTGAGTAGGTCAAATGAAAATTTATCATCAAAAGTTAAACAGAACGACAGCTGCTCCGATGACCAACAGGACCAACATTCCGACTTTGAGCCTTATAGAGGACCATTTTTGAACCTCTTGGATGACACACCTTTTGGAAGGAAAGGTAAAGTGCTCAGCAATGCCTCATCTCAACCAGAAATCGCTAACATTCCTTCATTAGAAGAGTGCTGGGTTGTCACACCTGCACCCTGCTTCACCGGGGTGCCAAAAGAATGCCCAAAAGGTTCTTTAGAAGATCTTTTAATTGAACGGACGACAAAATCCGTTTACCAACGCTTAAAAGCCAAAAGCTCCAAAAAAAATTTGAATTCCAGTGATAGTAACTATAGTGTGGTGGAAGACGAAATGAATGACGAAATTGCGTTTACATTGCCGAATGAAGGCGATGACCACGAGCGTGAAACTGAGTTGAAAAACCGGATGGAGGAAGTAGCCAATAAAAGTGTGCTAAACATGCTCGTCAGCCATTTTTCAAGAGTTGAGTGTGAAAGCAACAATGAAGACAGAGGAACGGAAGATGACAACGATGTGAACTATAGGAACGATAACACGGGCGTTAGGTATTTTAACATTAAACATAGGCGTTATCACGACAATTTTAGAGGAATTCGAAAAGGTAAAATAATTAATTGATAATGAAACTATCTACAATGAAGGAAATTAGTCTAAAATGTAACCACTGAGGTATCCCCAAACTGAGTGAGCGTTAGATATCACTCAGCAAACGATTCAAGGGGATAATGATGAAAAATTTATTTTTGTTAGCAAAATATTAATATAAATGCTAATTTTAATGTTTTAATTTTAACACACTGACTGATTCCCAAGACCGAATTGTTTTTTTTTGTTTTTTTTTTCAGTTTTGATTTGTCTGTTTCATATTTTTATTGCGTCTCTTCGTCGATCTTTTTAAAAATTTTTATGTGAGTTTTTATGTAGCAAACAAATGAAATTATTTTTTAGTCACTAAGAATATTGTCAGTGAATGCAAATGGCGGAGAAAGATTTTGTTGATATTGAGAGAGAGTGGGGTAGAGAGAGAGAGTTATGAATCCATTAGCTCAACAAAAGAGCACCAAAAATAGCGCTGATTGCACATGAAAAAATCAAACGATTTTGTTGCCAACGCATGGAAACTAACCGTTGATGAAGTTTCCACTGAGGCTCGCATCAATTTACTACTGTGATAAATTAAGTTTTGAAAGTCCGCATATGAGGATTAATTAGTGTTGTGAGACTACTATACCGTTATGTCATAATACCTTACATTGTCATGCGTATGCACACATACACACTCGCATACATATAATTTGTGTGTGTGTTTGTGTAACCAAGATTTACTCTGTATATAATTTCTTTTCAAGGTACCTATGTTGTTTTGCCAATGAACCTTTTTATTCTATTTTCATGATTAAATTTGATGCATGTATGTTCTTATTTTTAAGATAATTTTAAAAACATTTCCGTGTAGGACATGTTATTCAAGTTTACTTTTTAATTAACTACTTGACGATAGGATTTTCCAATATTTTTTGACTTCCTCCGTAATAACCACTATGCAGTATGTACATTTGTTGCGTTCTGTATATAATTTATACGTTTTTTCATTTTAATGTACCAAAGTATAAGGACCACTGATACATATAATGTGAGTACATGAATTTGTATACACAAATTTTGTACATAAATTTTATTCCAATATATTTCAGGTGTTAAACGCGACAGTTGCATTCAAATATGATGAATTGTGGTTTTGGTTATATTGTATATATTGGATTAAGACGGTCCGAAATGCAATTATTGATGGTAATCAATGATATATATATATATAATATATGAATTTTGCCGAATTGTTGGGCATTAATCAATTTAATATTTTTTTTTCAATTTTCCTTGATAGAATTTTCTGGAAATTGATCAATTTATTGAAAAAAAATATTATCCAAGTTCATCATGATAATTTAATAAAACGGTTGTTATCCAAATTCATCATGCAGATAGAATTTTTCACAAATTATCTTCAGTGCAGGTTTGGTTTATATAGTTTTTTTAAACAAAGCAAAGTTAGTTCTTTAGCAAAGTGAGTTACATAGTTTGTGTCGTATTCTTCATCTTTATTGTCATTTTTTTGTTCTTCATTGTTATTGAAATTAGTATTAAGGCGTCGAGTTGGTAATGATGTTATCATTCCTTGTTGGATGTTTATTTGGGGTTTATTGATATCTATTAGGACAGCTTCTGCAATTTTTAGATGTATTGTGTTGGTGTTTTGACAAATTATTTTGTGTTGTCAAGAATTGGGCTGGTTATTGGAGTTGCATGTGTTGATTGTAAGTGAGATTTGATGGTTCCTCTTTGTGTATGCATTGTAAGACGTCTTGATAGTGAAGTTGTCGTACCACCAATATACCAATGTTGTTGACGCTCACTGTCGTCAATAGGGTATTTAAATTAATTCATTACATGATTATGCTTAAAAGTAGAATCGTCCTTAGGAGTGCAGTTGTTCTTTAAGACCAATTGTGATGCCTTACGATTGTTATAGTCTATCCTGAGTTTTATTTTATTAGCATCATTGATTGGTGGGGTTAACCTAATGGTTAAGGTAGCAAGGTGCTGTTTCGCAGTAACCGAGTTCAAATATGACAAGATCCCGCTATCACATGCTTCGTGTATGATGCGTCGCTTAGCACGTATTCATAAACGATGGTTGTGGCGTGTTGTTGAATCCTCTGAAATTTGGAAGAGTGTAATTGACTTTTTGTTTAACCTTTATGATTTGTTTGAGGACGACTTTGTCTATTTTATTATTTTATGTGCCATTAAGATATGATTTCTGTAATACAGGATAACAGGACAAAACAGAATAAAAGCACCTTGCAGACACAGAGAATTGTAAAACCTTGAAATATACCTAAGCAAGCTCTGATGATGAGTAAAATCGGACCTATAAGCTACATCATGAACACCAACGATTTTTTTATTAATTTTATAAATTAGATAATAATTATAAAATTATTGTTAGAATTATTGAAAAACTCAACCGTAAACTTTCAAAAGCTAAAAAAATTTGGTAGATTTTATTAAATATTGCATAAATATATATATATATATATATATTGATGAAAATCACAGCATGTTTGGCGCTAGTTAATTTTCTATTTAAATAGGAAGTGGTGAAACGTTGGGCTGACATACGATAGACATTTTTATTCCATGATCTTTCTATCGAGTAATTGTGAGCGAGCAGTCACGTCGCCATGATGAAACAGCACGCTTCCAATGTTTCGAGGCAATGCTGCTTGTCTTCTCTCTGGCTCATCATGCTCACCGCCTCCAAGCTCTACTAACTTTCACATATCAAATACATTAACGCCGAACATGCTGTGATTTTTCATCAATAATTGCATTTCTGACATATATGAAGTCTTTAAATGTTTTTGTATATTTATTCCATAAAAAACATCTGCTCCATAATTTGAAATTTATTATACTGGTATGAATCTAAACACCAAATATCTAATTTAACATCACATATAATAATTTATTTTACACTCCAAAGGTAGAATTTACAAAAAATGTTTTTTGTCTGTTAACCTATCTACTTATATTCATTTGAGCATGATGAAAAATAAGCCGATGTAGAATAAGGAGCGTGAAAGTTGCCGGGAATGTGGGGAGGATTGGGAGAATGCATATAATAGATGATCATTCTGCTGGTGTAGTGCTTGTCCTTGCGGATAAGCTTGGTTGCTGGCGTCCGCTTGGTTCTTGTTGCCTGTCACGTAGTACTTGATGTCCACTGTCGATCTGCTGTCATTCTTCACCGTCATCTTCGTCATGCGTATGCATGTTGGTTCACTGGTGTCTGTTTATTTTTTAAAACGTATGTTATTAACGAAATGTTTTGTGCAGAATGAATTGTGTTGATTATATGCCAGTTCAACGTTTCATCACTCCACCAAAATTTTAATCGCATTCTATTCACAAATTGTTAAAATTTATTCCTACTTGACATTATGTGGAAGTGGGTGTTGAACTTGTTGAATATGAAGGGAGCATTGATCTTTCCATCGAGTAATTGTGCGCAGTCATGCCGCGATGATGAAACGGCACGCTTCCAATGCTTCGAGGATGCTGCTTGTCTTCTCTCTGGCTCATTGTGCTCACCGCCTCCAAGCTCTACTAACTTTCACATACATACATTATATATATATATATATATATATATATATATATGTGTGTGTGTGTGTGTGTGTGTGTGTTGGGAAGAGACCATATTTCGTAAGTATTGTATGAAGTCTACCGAATTCGGTAAAATTAATACAATACTGTATATATATATATATATATATATATATATATATATATATATATATATATATATATATTATATATATATGGAATGCACCGAAGTTCGGCCCCGGCCAAAATCCGGCCTTTTTTTCAAATCCGGCCAAATCCGGCCCTGGCCGGATTCGGTGGCCGGATTTAGGGCCGGATTTAAGCGTCTATCAACATTTAAAAATTTTATAAATTGAAAAAAAAAAATTTTATTGAATTCGATTAATTTTATGTCAATAAGTTAAAAGCTAAGCATACATGACACATAATAACAACATCACTAATTGTGAGCTGAGCTGGACAATTTTCTTTGTGCTTTAACATGGGTTATGCATACATTATAAGTTGATCTTTGTGTAAAAGAACTTGTGCACGTGCATGCATGGCACATAATAACAGCATCACTAATTGTGAGCTGAGCTGGACAATTTTCTTTGTGCTATAACATGGGTTATGTATAAATTATAAGCTGATCTTTGTTTACAAGAAATTGTGCACTTATATATAATAGTATATGACGATGATGCAGCTATAAAGCGCATAATTTAAGAACAATATATTTATTAAGCATTTTTTATTATTGGTGAATTTTATAAAAATGGCTGAAAAGAAATTCGGAGTATGGGCGTTTTTTGACGTTAAAACAAACGATAAATCGAAGGCAGTTTCTAAGGAATGCAATGCAGTATTGTCGCGGGGTAAGCCTGATAACCCCAAAAGTTTCTCAACGTCTTCTTTGATTACTCATCTAAGGTCAAAGCATCCACTTCAGTATGATAATATGAACAGTTTAAAGTCTTCGATTGCAGTAGCCGTAGAATGCGAAGATGCCACCTCAAATGACAGTGATGCGAGTTTGCTAGGAAATGAATCAATCCAGCCCACCCAGCCAAAGATTAGAGAAGCATTTGACAAACAAAAACCTTGGGATATAAACAATGACAATGCTAAGCGTATCCATGTGGCGATTGCTAAAATGATAGCGATAGATATGGAGCCTTACCAGGTCGTCGAAAAATCAGGATTTATCAATTTGGTGAAAACCTTGGAGAGAAGGTACAGCATGCCTTCTCGAAAGTATTTCACCGAACGTGTAATTCCTGATCTTTTTGAAAACGCATCTTCATCACTGAAGGAGAAGGTAGCTGGAGCATTGAGCCTTGCGTTTACAACAGATACATGGACAGCAGACATAACAATGGAGTCATATTTGGGATTGACAGCCCATTGTTTAACTCCTACGTTCGAACGCCAAAGTTATGTTTTGCAGTGTGTAAAATATTCAGGTTAACACACAGCAGCAAATCTACTGTCAGCGTTTGATAGGTCACTCAAAAATTGGAACATTCCACGAAACAAATGTCATTTAGTTTTGCGAGACAATGCGGCAAATATTACCAAATGTTTCCGAGATGGAAACATTAAAAGTGCACCTTGTTTTGCCCACACGGTTCAACTCTGTATCAACGATGGTATATTAAGTCAACGTGGTGTTAGTGATCTCCTGAAAGTTGGACATAAATTAGTAGGCCATTTCAAACACTCGTCATCAGCCACGGATCGTTTGCACAATTTGCAAGCGGATTTAAATCTGCCAAAACACCAGTTAATTCAGGACATCCCCACAAGGTGGAATTCAACATTCTTCATGGTGCAGCGACTGTTAGAGCAACGTCGAGCAATAACATTGTACTGTGCTGAAAATGAATCTGTTACTAATTTGTCACCAAATCAATGGTCTGTTGCTGAAACTGTTGCTGCGGTTTTGGAACCATTCGAGGAGGTTACCAGAGAAGTTAGCTCATCATTAGCATCTATATCTTTGGTTATTCCAATGGTGTATCTTTTGGTATTAGTTTTGGAAAAAGAAAGTCGGGATGCTGGCATTAAAACAATGAAGGCCACACTGCTGAATGCTATCAACACCAGGTTCCAAAACATTATAAATGACCGAGTTTACAGTGTAGCTACAATGCTTGATCCAAGGTTTAAGACCCGCTTCTTAAACGATACAGCTTGTACCTGCCACTAAATTGTTACCTCAAAATAACAAAGAATTAGAGTCTACATCAGATCAGAGGATGTGCAATCCCAAAAGCCAACAAAAAAAGACGTGTTGATGAATCATCTTCAAAATTGTGGGACTGTTTCGAAGATATGTTGGAAAATGAAGTAACGAGTATTTCTAACAACAGATCATTTCAAGATAGCATCAGTGATGAACTCTCAACTTTCTTGGGAGAACCATTGTTACAGCGACAGGAAGACCAGCTACATGGTGGAAGTTTAACACTAGAAAGTATCCAACCATATCAAAGGTTGCACAAGTTTACCTAGCACCTCCACCAACAAGTGTACCATCCGAAAGATTGTTTAGCACGGCTGGAGACATCATCACTGAGCATCGCACAAGACTGCTCCCTGACAACGCTGAGAAGCTGATATTCTTAAAATACAATGCTTCTCTTATTTAACTATTTACATGTGAAATAATAAACTTTTTTTGTACACTGGAATTTTTTCAATAAAAAACAATCAATACTTTATGCTTTGTGTTATTTTTTGGTGTTCAACATGTAGATAACCGTAAATGTGAGTATTTTTTCTAACGTATGTAAAATAGCAACTAAAATCTGGCCCCGACCGGTTTTTGAATTTTAAATCCGGCCAAGTCCGGCCCCGGCCGGATTTGAAAAACCTAAATCCGGTGCATCCCTAATATATATATATATACATATATATAAATACATATATATATATATTTATATATATATACAATAACATCTCCAGCACAACTCTTTACCATCATGTACAATTTTTTATACACTGCACAAATAAAAAAACCCAGTTTATTCATCTAAAATAACAACCAAGTCGCCAGTTTTCTACATAGGTCGTATGTCAGTTATAAATTAATAATACAAGTTGAAAACTGATTTTTAAAGTTACGTTGGTGGGATAACCACAACTCTTTTTAAAAATGGCGGACTATCAAACCTCATGGGACAAATCCATAGTAGGAAAATTACCAAAAAAGAATCTACACAGGCGGCATTAATAGTTGAAGCATGTAGAAGTAGTTGAGCCATTGCACTTGCACACTTAGAACCTTCAATCAACAAACAACTCTAAACAACATTCAGCTCTCCAACTTGTTAATCACACAACACTTAACCCGTAAATTCTTTCACCTCTTGACTTTTTTATCTGGTTTTTTTACTCTTTTATTAAAAATCCTTTGTCACACATCCTACAAATTATGTAACTATAGCATTAACTATAACAAAAACTATAACAATCCGACGGTGGCAAATTGGTGGTCAAAACGTTGTTAAACAAACCTTAATAATGAATGCTTGATAGTTATTTAGTTTAGTCATGTAGAAAAGAGATTGATTCAAAAGTTTGAAAAATTATTTTGGAAAAGTGATATTCAGACAGTTTGAAATAAGTATATAATATACATAATATACGTCTAATCAACCAACCACTATTCAACCAGTAATTCAACTGATCAACTAGTGATTGAACAAGCCAATTTATCAACTAACTAACCATGCATGAATCATGGACACTTGCATCAGCCATAACCTCCTTCGTGTACATAACTTTGTATTCGGCAATTTCAGTCGAGGCCTCGCAGATAATTTCTTCAAATATTCATATTTCGGAATTGGGTTAGTAATATTTGTCAATTTAGCATATGGAAAAACCAACGACTAAGAGGTATTAATTTAAATTGTATTAAATGTTATTTAATTTATTAAGTTGTTGATAGAAAAGTAATATAACTAGGTTTTATTTTGGGTTTCAGACTAGTTTAGACAAGTTAATGAAGCTGTAGTCACAAGTTTTAATATAAAAAGCAACTTTGACTAATGTTTTGGCCGAATTTGTATTTGTAAATCCAGCTATAGTCAGATTTGAAAAAGTCAAATCCAGTACAGCCCTAATAACTATATATCTCTGATTAAATTTGTTGTTGATTTGAAATACAGGTTTTGGATTTTCTTGGTTGTTAGTGTTCCCCGTTTTTTGCGGTTGAGATAAAAGTACTTGTTCATGAACTATAGTACTTAAGGTCTAGGTACTTGTACTTAAAAAATTTAATTTTGAGTATTTGAACTTGAGACCATGGTATTGAAAAAAATACTTTAAAACATCTCTGCACTAAAGCCAATTTAAAGCAATCTTTCTGCTCTTGAAATTAACGGCACAAACGTTATTAATACTATTTAAAATTGCTTGCTCTAACCTTTGTGAAGAACGTTAACTAAAAAGGGATGTGTGCAGTTCTGTGAGATGAAAGACAATTTTGAGACTAGCATGCAGAGGAAGGGGTTCCAGTCCGAAAGAGTGCCTTCACAGAACAGATTCTCGCTGACAGCCAGCCTCACGTGCACCAGTCCCCCCAAGCCACATTGAAATTGCTTACATTTGGTCGTCGCTGTGTTGTCAACAATAAAAAATCGTGATTTCGGCTGTCATGTAACATGCTGATATATGCGATAAAGCCTTTATTTTCATTGAGTTGTAATTATAATAACATTAGAAACAAATTCAAAATGTTAATAGTTAAACATTTATCTATAAAATTTCAGAGCATACAATTTGTGGGGTTGCTATATTATTAACTAACGAATGTAAGTTAACGTGGATCCTCCTTCGATGTTACTCCAGTGCTTTGATAACTGGTTGACGTGCGAATAGTAAGGAAGTTGTTTATCATGTTGGTGCTGATGGTAACTCTGTTGCATCTTGCAGTTTCCAACTGTAATGTCGTCCCTACCATTATTTACCGCCACTGACAGGAATTCATTATGAACAGGTTGATGTCTTACCGCCGTGTATGCGCGCGCACACACACACACACACACACACACACAAACACACACACATATATATATAAATGTGAAAACAGGTAAACTTTTTCGGATCAGTGTTTATTTTAATTTTAAAAACGAGGGTAGTTATTTTGTTAGCAGTTGCACCGCAGGGCTCTGTCCGTGATGTGGGTACTCTAACGGCATTGCATTGTCCGTGATTAAAAGTAGCGTCATATTATATGAGGACCTGTGATATAGTGTTTGAATTGATCGCATTGTTCAAACCGAAGCTCTTCATTAAACGGGAAACTTCCTCAGATGACGTCACCAATTTTGCATTGTTGCCGCGCTCTGGCCTGGTCTTTTCTCTCAAGCTATTTTGTTGAGTTTTATAAAGGAAACTTTTTAACTTTCAGTGAATTTCTAATTTTCTCAATTGGTAATTTTTTCACAATACCTTCTGAGTAAAGATTAATATTTTAATTGAAGAAAATCAATAAAATTATTATTATTATTATTATACTTGAATCTCCGTAGTAATCTTTAAAATTAGTTATGTATTCACAATGTTGTAATCTTTAGCGCTCGTAACTACCAACACTAATGTTATAACTTCAATGATCTCTATATTTCCAACACCAGTGTTGTAGCTTCCAACGATCGTCAAGTTATCGTTATTCCGTAGGTTCAAGATTTCCGATAGATGAACACAACTGCTTCAAACGCATACTTAGTTGTTAAACGTTTATTCAAATGACAACAGTAATAGAAACACTAAACTAATCTAAGTAACTACATAAAACACATTTACGACTTCGCTTCAAACCTCGCTGTTAACCTCGACTAGTGACTCGCTACTACAGTGAATTTTACAATCCTCTATGGTATGAAAAGATTCAAGAAAAGTTTACAATCGATGAGAAATAGCAAAGATAATAAATGTAACAAGATAACAATAATTAATTACATAGCATAATTTCACCATCCCAGCGGTTATAAAAATACCATACTTTGCATTAAATATTTCAACAGACTATTTTCAAATGTTATTTTATAAATGAATAAAAATTTATTTTTAATTATTTCTAACACATAAAGACAAAAACAAAGGTTTTGAATTATGTTGAAAAAGATAGAACAATGGACGTAGCACACGGCAGCATGCACATACGCAGACGCTCTCTTAGAAGATAAATTTCCAAACACACCACTCACTGACACCAACTCAGCAACAATCAACTTACGGAATTGAACTGATAATGAGTTGGTTGAGTTCTGCACATGCATGCACAGGAACCGAGGAAAGCTGTGTGCATCAGTATAAAGGGAAATATTACATTACATTTGTTACATCAATTACACTAAACAGCTTGAATGACAATGCTTACAGTTGGCAGAAACTTACTAACCACACGGACGTGGTGCGAGGCTAGCGTATTAATAACTTACGTCTGTCGCCACTGAAAACTACTTACTTTCAGCGGTTGCTTGCGTACGGCTGTTGCCAGAGAATAAACGATATGTCTGTGCTACATTATGTTATAGTAACATTTAACATGATGATAATTTATGTAATCAAGATATTTTATGTAAAATGTTTGTAACTATTATTATTATTTGATATATATACGAAAAATTCTTTAAAAAATGGCTGGGCTCATGGAGTCACTCGGAAACTACTTACAGCCAACCGGTATCTTCAACTTTTTGGGTCCAACAAAATGCTGTATCGTATTGTATTGTAACTAAGATTTGTTTAAATCGTTAAAACTTTCAGCAATAAAATGCTAAAAAAGTTCGACCTCAGACATTTTGATTGGCTGAAATTCGGCACATCTGAATTTGCAGGGAGAGAGCAGACTAGCGCAAGATTTCATTAATAAACAAATGTCAGATGTTTGTTTGTTTTCAAATAAATGTCGTATATTTATATATAGGCAGGCATATATATGTAAAAGACTCTGTTGTTATGACTTTTGATACATGCTTGTCAACGCATTTTTGTGCTTTAGCTAATCATCTTATTCTAATATAATATATTATTAAATATTATCATTTATGAACATTGCTGAGATATATTTATATTGATGGCTATATAACAACAACAACACTAATACTACTACCATAATAATATAATACAAATACATATAATAATAATAACAAAATATAGATCAAAAACTAGAATTTTTGAACCGACGATCTATTGAACCTAGCAAGAGAGAAGAGACTCACCACCCATTATCGGCAGTCGACTCGACTTTGTACATGTTCCCGAACTTTTCTTTGCAAAAATATCTAAAAAGGTTAAATTTTGTAATTATTTGCAAATAACAATCTTTTGTTGACGTACATAAACTTCATCCATGAATATACTTCTATTTATATGCATAATGAATGATCGGATGCATTTCATTTAACGACCAAGTCACTTCTGGCCATTGAATTAAAAAAAACGTTCGAAGCAAACTTCTGTAGGCCCTCCTCGATGACCCCATCCTTGCCTATCGTTAGCGACTTGACGTTCGTCTGAGTGAAGGAGAGGTAGTTCTCGTGATAACTTTCATCCACCGTGCACTCACTACGACCTGATTGAGAGCCAGCTGGTCAGTTGGAGGTATCCCATCAGTCGATCACAAATATTTTTTAGTGTCATTATGAATGATGGTACACAATTTTTATCGTTTATTGTAAAAGGTTTCAAATGAACATGTTTTCAACAACTTCACATTTTTCAACTAACACATTGATAACTTAGCTCAAAAACAGACTTAAACATGTACATAAAATAGAACAAAAAACACACGGCATAACTTAACGTAACTTATACGTAACATTAGCATTTTATAATCGCTATAAAAATCGGGATGTATTTTTCGTTCAGAAATCTGCTTAAAGACTCTGAACAAAATAAGCACAGTCACAGCCATCCTGATTGACACAGGTCATTTTTGACACGTCACTTTTCAATATGTCAATTAAAAATTATCCATACAAAATTCGATTAGTTGCAACATTAAATTTCACCGAAATGTCAACCAACCACACGCGGACTTTCCGTGGTTGAATCGTTTGGTGTTTTTGCAGAGGACACCTCCCTCCTTACATTCCTCCTGGCACATCCCTGCTGAGATGTCAAACATGTTTGTATTGCTGAAATTTTATGGGTTTTGCTAAATAACAAAAAATATAAATGACTATGTTTCAAACTGGAAGTAGTGAAATTCTGCACTAATGGTAAAATAATAATTAACGGTAAAAAAATGTTTCAGTTCAAATATCACTCGTTCCCATATCTAATTTTCTATTTATTGATAGAGATTATTTTATTCGTCTGAATTAGCCAAGTCGATGGAAGTGCCATATTTTCGCGATGAACTGGCTCGAATACTGCCTGTCCAAAACTCGAAGACTCTCATTCATGCGCCATACTGTGCTCGCAAATGTTGGTGGGTGGCTGCTACTGAATGTAAGAAGCTTTTCTGTGCATGTTAAAGCTCTATAACAAAAGAAAAATTGTTTCTGAATGATCAGCAGCCTCAATGATATTCCTGCTCAACAGCTTGTTTTTGAAATAAATCTTTCATTCATGGTCTCACCTGTACAACAATGTCAGTTGAAATAAATTCACATAAAATAAATTACATTAACATGAAATAAAATAAAGGAATATTTTTAAAGCATAAAATTATTATTTAAAATGAAATCTTAAAACGCAATATTAAAATGAAATATAAATGCAAAAAAGGAAAGTTAACCTACCAGGTCTGTTGAGTTTGAGAAGAGTGTGCATGACCTGGCTCGGAGGACTGCCCTGAAGAAATTATGCAAAATGTTTCAAGTATGTTAATCTGTCGGTGGCAATGTTGAGTTCTTTAGCATGGCATCGTCAATAAAACTATCCCAAAATTAAAATCAATTACGATAGAATGCCTAACCTGATTTACAATAAATTTATAAAATTGACTTCGACAAATATCATATAACAACGGATGTCCAACAACGCCACATTACAAAACATGGAACACCACAGACACACAATGCAACCCGGACAGCACAAATACCGAGCAGAAACCTTTTTGATAGTTGGACAGATTGGACTGAAGTAGAGAAGGAGTAAGGTCTCGTCGATATTTGAAGATTTCATCGCCTCGTAACGCTGCAATTGTTTTTACTGCTTACAATATTCAGTAAAGTATTCAATTCATTGATTCATTGAATTAAAGTATTCAATGAACGTTCATCATTCTATCAGTTAAGGTCACAGTTTTTTAATTAGTGGTGTTTGTTAGTTAACGTTGTAAGCTGTGAATGTAACATTAACAATGATGCTACCAGAGTACATTAGCAACTTGATTTGTGTTTAACATTCCTCAGTTGAATAAGATAAATCAGTGAATCAGTGTGGCAGCAGCATCAAAACGTTAACAAAATTACACCAACGTTGATATTAACAACAAAAACAGCAATTGAAGCCACAGAACAACTTTATTAGTAAATTGATCAAAGACTCGACTAAACTTACTAAATAAATCTAATAATTGAATTAATAAATATTTGAATACATAAATAAACAAACGCATAAATAAATAATTGAATTGATTAATTAAATTAATAATAAAGAAATAAGCGGACCATAGCGTATTGTACGTTGATACCATTGTCAGTAGCCAGAATGAAGGTGTATGAATCCTCCCGCCACCATCCAACACAACTCAACTTATTTGCTGCTCGGTCGTTCAAGTTTAATAATAATTGATTTTAATTAATTTATTAATTAATTAATTGATTAATTAATTTATTTATTCATTCATTCATTCATTCATTCACTCACTCACTCACTCACTCACTCACTCATTCATTCATTCATTCTTTCATTCGTTCGTTCGTTCGTTCGTTCGTTCATTCATTCATTCATAACATTGCTTTTTATTTTCTTGAATCAAATGATTCAATATAATTGAAAACAGGCTGAACGAACAGTCATTAACGTTACAGCCAACAACAAACAGCTGCAACGACTTTCATCAAAACTGTAATGTCATTTGCGTCATCCATCGCGTTGATAATGTTAAAATAGCTTGAAATTTGTTTTTAATAAAAATTGGAATAATAATCTTCAGAAACTTGTTCCTTCGACATCGAAAAGGTTGCAGTGCGGGGATTCCAGGAAGTTGAAGGTCATTCCCTCGCCCTGCATGCATTCAGACTCCAACCTCGCTACTCTGCACGCGCTTTCAACTGCCTGACAATGTGTTGTCGTTTTGTTACTCAGTCATTTTCATCTTCCTTATCATTGCCATCATCGTCATTACTGTCTTAATAGCATCATCGTCCTCATCAATATAATCATATTTTCAACATTGCCTTAACTGTCACTGTTATTATCATCACCATCGTCATCAATAGCATCATCATCATCGCCATCAATAGCATCATCATCATCATCATCATCATCAATAGTATCATCATCATCAATAGTATCATCATCATCATCATCATCATCATCATCAACAGCCCCATCAGCCTCCAACCCATCATCGCCATCGTCATCATCGTTAGCATCATCATCATAATCATCGCTATCATCATCAGGGTCGTCGTCGTTTTGTCCTAACAGCCAGACGACAAATCATTGGATCATTACGTAGTTATAAGCAGACGTACTTCTTTGCCGTCTAAGAATGGCAGCAGCGACTCAAATCAAATCCCCGCATCGCATCTCATCAATACATTTCCTTGTTCGTCATTTTTTATCTGCAAACTTTCGCACATGCTTACAAGCGTGCAAACAATCTTAAAACGAACAGCATCAACGATAAAGAAAATGTTCCCCTAAGTGACGTGCACACGCACGTGGGCCCTCTGCCAAACAGATGTTCTCTGCTGCTCAACAGATATTTTAAAACGTAAGCGAGTTGTAAAATAACCAAATTTCATTATTACTATGATTATAATTGCTATTTTTGGCCGATTCAAAGACTTCCAGGATCAAAAGTTACAAAGACACCTCAATGAGAGCTTCAAAGAGCGTAAAATAATTATAAAATCACTTGAAATATCACCAACAGGTCTTTTTGATAAATTTATTTTGTATTCTTTCAACATTTCATGAACAGGTCAGATTCTTTTACACACAGTTTAAAGGAAGGAGCGGCATTTGAGTTGATTTGTGCTTTTTTGAACTCTTTGTACCTGTCCTTAACAACGAGTAAAGAGTTTTATTAATCGATATCATTAAGAATTACATATTATTATTTAATTGTTCTTAAAATGTTTTACTTCATCAATTTTAACATTTCATTAACTCTATATGATTGATTTTATTGTTGACAATTGACGCTGTTATTTCTTTCATTGTATGCTTTTTGATATTTGATTGAACAAAAGAAGTGTTCCCACTGTTGTTGTTGCTGTTGTTGTTGTTGCTGCTGTTGTTGATGTTGATGTTGTCATCGTTGTTGTTGTTGTCATGATTCTTATATCGTTGCCATAAAATTATCATTTCTTTAATTATTAATATTTTGGAACCGTTATAAGGTAAACATTACACAATTGGTCGTTATAATCAAAACTTGAGACAACAAAATGTACAATGCCTAACAGTTTTTTTTTCATGCAAAAATACAAGCATGTGACCGGCTACGTTTTATGCTGGTATTGTTCGAATCTCAGATAAAAATATTTTAGAAACAAACTATTGCTCACAGGAGCCAAAATAACATTTAATTAAATTTCAAAGCAGCCGAACTTGTACGTTGCTAAACAGATTGCATTCAAAAACTGTCTTCAAATTAACAATAATATACTGTAGAAATATTGTTATGTGAGGCTTAAAAATGAATAGACAATGATGACCAAGATAAAATGAGCAATGATAATAGGCCCGACAATGGGGATGTAATGATGATAATGACGATGATGGTGGGAATGTAACGATGAGGAGTAAGATAGTGCTGATGATGATGATGCAATTATGACCGCAGTGACAAATGATTTAATGGCGTATGATGTAAAGAGCAACATTTTTTAAAAATAATGACACCAACAGCCCAACAACAACAGCAAAAATACAAGAGATACACAACATACGTACACATGATGTCAATTCTATAACAGATGAGTATTGATAAAGACGCATATAATAACGATAAACTAATAATAAGTATAATGAAAAAATTACGGTGATAATGACAACATTATCAAAACGCTCTCGATACGTTAGAACCCTAAAAACAGCGCCAGCTCTTCTAATAAACAGCAAACACCACCAACAAACACGTCAAATAAACAACCTCATCAACAAGCCAACTAGAAAACGCACAGTTAAACAGAAAGATTGCATACACGAAGAATGAAACAGACAAACAAAATAAAAAATCGACGGAGGAACAAAGAGCCAGACAAACAAAAATGTAACAAACAGACAGAAAAGTAATCAGACGGACAAACAAATAGTAAACAAACAAGAAGCCAAACGGGCAAACAGGTGTACAAACAAGCAGCAACAAAAAGAACAGACTTGTAACAAAAACAAACAGACAGACTTGGATACAGAAAAACAGAAAGATAACAGACAGACAAGAAACCAGACTGGAAAACGGACAAATAAGAGCCCAACAGATAAAAAAATTAGACAAACAACTGAAGAAACAAACATAATAACTACTCATGTCTAAAATCTAAAAGTGATAAATATTCTTGTCTAAAAACTGAGTTTCATTGACTTTTGATAGCAACACTGTTCATACCACCACTGCGTAAATTTCAATTCAATATATTTTCAGAAATTATACCGAAGTAAGCTTGAACATTTTTGACATTTTTGATCATAGATTTTTCTCTTTTACCATTTTTATTTTTGTTTGAACTTAGTTTATTTTTGCTTTTTGAGCGGTTTTTGTACAATTTTTATTTTTTCCGAAAAGTTTGTTTCAGTAATAAAGTTAAGAGTACTTATTATCGTAGCCTACTTATTTTCAAAGTTCGGTGAGTGAAAATTATTTGGTCAAATTAACCAAAAACATCTTAGCTACTAAATTAATAAAGTCATTAAACCAACATTAGAATGAAGTAACAAACAAACAACAAACCGATTTTTTGAGGGTGATGTAGGGCTTTTCAGTTCTGACTTCGAACCCACCAACAATTGGACAGGTGACCAGGTCACGTAGGTCTTGAGCTGTTCATCAATCGAGTTGTAATGCTTTTAATGTTGGCAGGTTGGTTGATTTTTGTTGGTGATTGAAAATAATTATAATTTGTAGCTGATTTTCATAATTTTAACAATATTTTAATGCTGATAATTATGATTTTTTTAAAGTGAAATTTTATGCTTGTGGTGTTAGTTTGTAATGTGAGTGATCCTAATGATTTCAGCGTCGTTGATGTTGAAAATGGTGTTTTTTTCTTAATGGTACCGGCTTTTAACATCCAACATTTTTATTTTTTAATTTGCCGGAGACGTTGAAAAGCAGGGCTGAAATATAAAATTATATTAAAATGAAAAATTGTCATAAATACATGGAAAAATTTTATAATAATTGAAAATTATTAACGCTATAAAAATCGACATTGTAAAAAAATCATAAAAACTTTTACGAAATCAAAATAATTGTTTTTGGCATTTTCCAATAATAATAATAATAATAATAATAATAATAATAATAATAATAATAATAATAATAATAATAATAATAATAATAGTAATAATAATTTATTAAATATATTATCATAATTAACATAAAAGTAACGTTTAGAAAATTAATTTTGAAAGAGAATTGTTATAAATATTGATATGAAGATAATCAGAATATTGACAGAGGCGTGTAAGACTGAATTGAACATGTTAACAAATGCTGAAATGATGATAATAAAAAAAAGTTACCCAACGAATATGGTGACAATAATGTGATAAAATCGTTAAGATTATAATGTTAAATAATATGGATACAAAAGAAATCCTTGGGTATAAAGAGCGGAAGTATTAAGTGATAATTCATAGTATGAATGACATCACCATTATTTTATTTTTTCGATCTAATGTCTATAATTAGACAGTAAAAACATGCAAATTAATGTAGAAAATGCCACGGACATCTTGGAGTATGAATGCATTGTCATTCAAGAACTGGAAAATACATATTTAAGGTGTGCATTGAGAAAATGCAAATTTTTAAATGGATGCTCATATTAAGAGAAAGTAGTGTGGATGAATAGTCGGATGAATATGAAGAGAAAACTAAAAGAAATTCAGCAATTGGGCAGGAATTATTCAACAAATCTTTTAGTAAATTATATCATGTTCATTTGTGTACGCATAAATAAAAACGTTTAGCTGCTTTAGTGGAATAAATTGATTGATTCACCAAATTTAATGAAATGAAAAATCAAATTGTGAAGAAAGGAAGAAAATAAGTTTTCAACAATTAAATATTATCAAAAAAAACGCTGTTTAACTAACAAAATCAATAAAACATATGAAAAAGGGTACCTATTTGAACTTTAGCTAAAAGTAACAAAAAAACGTACATGCATAAATATAAATTTAATGAAAGAGTTCTTGATGAATTTAGTTCCTAAGGTCTCTCAGCTAAGTCGAATGAGACCAGTAATATCGTGGACTTGACATCTTGCGTGTTCTACGTTTACGACATCTCATTTTGAGGTAAAATGCTTTCAGTTGCTTCAACGAAAATTTGTAACACAGCCAGCCGATTTGTTGATACAGATATCCCCATCAAATGTTAAGTTTTCAAAATCCGTTTACAACATCATATCTTCAGCGAAATCGAGGCACCATTAGCAAATTTAAAGACAACTCAATAACTGTTCCCTACAAATCTGCGACACAAAACAATGAACATTGTATTGTTGGATGGCAAGAAGTTCCAAATGTGACTACTATACTGGTTTTATAACTTTTTTCTTTTGTAGCTTTCAATTGCCATTTCGACATCATGACAAATCATTTGAGTTTGAGGATCTATTCTTGCGTGGTTATGTAAAATATTTGAGTCTATCGTAGCAAAGAGGTTGTACAAAATAATGTAGTTTTGGTAAATCTTTTAAGGACTCTCTTTAAATTTTTAAAATGATATTTGAAATGAAAAAATTTTTTCTAAAGTTGACGAGAGTTGATAAGAGAGTTGATCAGAAAGTTGTTCAGAGAGTTGATCAGAGAGTTGATTAGAGAGTTGATTAGAGAGTTGATCAGAGAGTTGATCAGCGAGTTGATCAGAGAGTTGATCAGAGTTGATCACTTCAGGCAACGGTCAAAAAAAATTTCTGCAATGAAAGAAAAACTAAACTGGATGAAAGTTTGTTAGAAATGTTAAGCAAATAAGTAGAAATATTGACTGGTATGCCGCAAAGATTAATGTTAACAAAACTAATTGCAATTGTAAAAACATTCAAATGATATTTTATTGCTTAAAATGCGTGGACAGGTCAGTGTATAGGTAGATGGTTACGTGAGTAAATTTCAGAATAAGAAAACAGATGAGTATGAATTTCTATTTGGGTGATAACTTACTGACGACAAAAAGCGTAAGTATGAATATAATGGCAGATGTTTGAATGACCAGCCAGGTAGATGTTTAAACAAAGACAAAAAAGAGAGAAAAAAGCCAAGAAAAAATGATTGTTACTCGAATGTTTCATGTGTGTGTGTGTGAGAAAGAGAGAGAATAGCATGTGATAAACATTTTAAAATGTTTGCACAAGTGCACGCACAAATGCAAACACACGTGCAAATACACGTGCAGAGACTAGCA